ATTATTGTCATGTTTCTTTTGAAATTCATATTTTAAGTTTACTTATTGTACTGCATTGTTAGCTCTGCGATAGATGGGTGACCTGGGTGTACCTGCGTCTCTCGCTCCCTGGCAGCTTGGAAAGGCTTCAGGCCCATCGTGACCCTGAAATGGATAAGCACAAGAAAATGGGAAGATGGATGAACTGTGAGGAGCAAAGTGATGCGTGTAAATATTAATATGAGTGCCAAAAACTGTGGACTCACTAATGAATGTAATAAAATACTGAAAAAAAGATACACACTCAGTCTCCCTTAAAGGGAACCTGACAAATAGTAGTATTTTATTGTCACTTTCTTCTGTTAAAGTCCTTACATTTCAAACTTACACCCGACCTACACCCATTTTCACACCTTAGCTCATGTGATTAGTCCAGACGCTTTTCTTTCCAAGCTACTTAGACTTACATTTCAAAGTACAGTCAAGGAAGTCTGCTCTAAATTACTGTATTACTTATATTTGTACTGTTAATTAATAAATATTAAGTGCACCTGTATTCATTTTTCCAGTAAAAATCAAACTATCACCTGACTTTGAAGTTCTTGCAAATTATTTTTCTTTGTAGATAGTTTTTACCTCTGCCAAGGAGATTATGTCTTTGGTAGCGGTTGTGTGCGTGTCATTCAGTTCATTCAAGAGCTCGAATTTTTTTAATTATTCTGATCAAACTTTGTAGGGGTCCAGAGTGTGGTCATGTTAACTATCCATTAAAATTTGGCTTTCATCCACTAGGGTCTTCAATGTCAAGCAAATTATTTATTGGTCAAAAATTGATAAAATGCCTTTTAACTTACAAACTATGATTCTTACATGTGTGGTGTATATAGAGAGTACTGCATGAAGATTTTAAATATCAGGTCACATTTGAACTCTGACTTCTCCTTCAAGGTCTATAGACTGAATTGAAGGTCAAAGTGATAATAATGCCATATGGAGCTATTTGCTGTTTTTTTTTACTGCCATTGTGTGTTGATTGACAACATAAGCATGCAGCAAATGATATATGGGGATTTTAAATATCACGTTACTTTAGACCTCTGACCTCTTATTCACAGTTAAATGAGACCAAACTTTCACAAAATGTCCTTCATCTTTAAAGCTGCTTAAAAGTGGTGGAACCTTTTGTCAGGTTCACCTGAAAGGCTTAACTGAGGGCCACAAAATCCCACGTATTCAGTCTTAGCCACGCCCCCTCCAGGGATCTACTACCGGTTAAGTGGCGTTGCTGAAAGTGTGATGCAAAAGGTCTGTAAGGCTATTTTCTAGACTCCTCACAACAAATTATGAGTGTCACTCACTATCGAATCATTTTCTAAGTGATACCGTTTAATATCTGTCGCTCAGCTGTTGGTTAATCTCTGTGAAACTGTCGTTTTGTGCTTAGTTTTCCTTGTTTGCTAACGTTAGCGTAAATGTTCGACATGGACGTTTCTTCCAGCAGGGTATTTTTGTTTGTTTTCACTCCTTTCTCCTCTCGTTAGCTCCACTTCCTGGCCACTGGACCTCTTTATGTGTATGTATTGAGACCCCGGGTGCCATTGTAGTCACCCTAGCTACTTGTTTAGAAGATTTAAGCTGTGTGACAAATGGCCAACGCTGCTCCTCCGACTCCGGGCGTTGAAAACGCAAGTCCCGGATCTAGTAGCTCGGCTGCCGCTGACAGTGGCAACCAGGACAGCACCTTTGAATGTAACATATGCCTGGACACCGCCAAGGACGCCGTGATTAGTTTATGTGGACACCTCTTCTGGTAAGAAGCGTGCTGTCTGTGACACATGTTTATATTTTTAATTGTGAGCCAGAGGTGAGTCGGGGACACATCAGCATAGCTCCTAAAGACCAATATCAGTTTGTAACTGGCAAACATGACGAGATCATTTCCAAGCATGCATAACTTATCACATCATACTTGGCGAACACTGAACGGAAATGCTAAGTTTTGGTAGAAGTTAATAGTAGTAGTTAATATTGCCTGTTTATTAGTAAATTGTGAGGCAGGTCCTACAAAATTTCAAATGTGCAGTGTTACATCCAACATGTAAACAGGGATGGTTTGAGTTTACCTCCACTTCTGAGCCTCTGCGAATGTAATACAGGCCAACCTCGGTCCACCCAGAATAGCCAAGGGTGTGCTATAAAGTGAAGTGTCTCAGATGTGGCCGTCTGATGATGAACTTTACATTACTAGGATCCAAGCAAACCCCAGCAGACTTACAGACACAGAAAGCATAATCCCAGCCTAAAGCAAAGAAAGCCTGACCATGTTGAACTTGCTTTGTAGTACACCCCTTCTGGGCAAAATTAAGTTAAATTGCAAATTTAAGTTCCTGCTTTGTGACTCATAGGTGCTCAAGGACATTTAATATCTAACTAATCATGCTTCTCCCATCTTCATTTGCATCTCCTCCTGATTAGCTGGCCTTGTTTGCATCAGGTAAGCTGAAACCGTTGTTTCCTCTTGTTTTTGCACTCCACCAGAAGCGGCACATCATTACAGATAAAGGAAGCGATTAGCTTCTTCACTTTTTTTTTTTTTTTTTGTAATTTCGTAGTGGCTGGAGACTCGACCCAACAGACAAGTGTGTCCAGTATGCAAAGCTGGTATCAGCCGAGATAAAGTAATCCCCATATATGGGCGCGGAAGTACAGGTCAACAGGATCCAAGGTGGGTAAAATTGGTGACTGTGATAATTAGATAGTATTAAATATTAGTGATTTGGAGTCATTTTGGGTAATTCTGGTTATGTTTTACAGAGAAAAAACACCCCCACGACCACAAGGACAAAGGCCTGAGCCAGAAAACCGTGGGGTAAGTACTATAGATCAGTATACAGGGCTCTAGAGTGCGACCAAAGTGTACTTCAAGAACAGTTTCCCATCTCAAATCTCTGTTTTCTGCATTATTCATTCGCTTATTATTACCCACCAGTCTACCGTTGTTTACAGCGCTGTCGGCCGCTGTCTGTCAAGAAAGCCTGATTTCTGCTGTTCAATACTGAAGAAGTTTAGACTTTTTAAAATTATGCAAAATTGCAGAATATTTTTAAGGTTATCTGTTATAAAAAGCTAGGCCAGGAAAATCTTCATGTTTTTCTGTGTTTCTCAGTTACTTTGACACAAAGGCATCTGCAGTGATGCTTACACACCACACAGAAAAGATCAAAAGAACGATTGATAACCTTTTTGTTAAGTTAAGGGCTGATCTGTCTGAAATTCATAGCCAGTGCTCTGACATGGAGCCATCAATCTCTGAACTCTGAAAAAGCACAGTGTACCCAGGAAACGCATTATATGCTGCGATAAATGCACTGTCCAAGTGTCCCCTCTGCCTTTCAGAAGCAGGCAGCAGCAAACAGGTAAAACTGCAGTGTTAAGCGATGCAGTTGAAAAATTTGGGTGTGCCTAAGAAAAAAAGTGAGGTGCACCACTGCAACCACGGCAAAAAGTTAGTCTAGAGCTCTGGTATATTTTTTATTATCATCCTGGAGTATGCCAAATTTTAAGCTCTTTTTAAAAAAAAAAAAAATTAGACAGTGTAGTGTTTTATAGCCCTGTAAGCTGCCCAGTAACATTATGAATTCATGATGAAACCATTGCATACAGTGATGTAGGTTTGCTGTATCCATTAACAGACTGACATTCCCCACCGGGATCTGTTAGATAATAAGTGTGGAGAGCCAGCACGTCTCCAGAGAATGATATCATTTGGCACTTGCTGTTGCGTCACGTCTCACTTGCTGTACATTAAACTGTACCTCAGATATTGCAAAGACACGTCTGCTCATTAAGGCAACTCAGACTTTCGTAACTTTTGATGATACGTATTACAGGGTTTTCAGGGATTTGGCTTTGGAGATGGAGGCTTCCAAATGTCGTTTGGGATCGGTGCCTTTCCATTTGGTATTTTTGCAACAGCTTTTAACATCAATGATGGAAGACCTCCTCCAGGTATTTGTTTGTCACACATCACTATGACCGCTCCAAGCATTTAGCATGTCAAATAACCTCCTGTTAAACAATTTCCCAAGCAGCGGCTCCGGGGACACCGCAGCACATGGACGAGCAGTTTCTGTCTCGACTCTTCCTCTTTGTGGCTCTCGTGATCATGTTTTGGCTGCTAATTGCATAAAACTCAAGAGATCTGACACATCTGTGATTCTGCTTTCATACTTCTTTTTTCCCCCTCTTGCAATAAATGTGATTATACATAAACAAATGACACATAACTGAAATGTTGTCATTTTCATGCTATAAATAATAAAAAGCAAAAGCAAAATGATCTTACTTACAAACTGCATTTGTAAGTAAGAAGTTTTATACAGACATTCTTTAGGGACTGATGAGTGAAATGTACAGTGTTTAAATTTACTGAAGTGTATGTTGTTATTGTTGCCATCTAAATCTAAAGATCTCCAGATTATTTGGAATTGTATTTAATTTTTTTTCCTGGGTCTGGTCACCGAAACAAGGTCAACCTCAGTGCTGATCATTTGTTGCAAAAAAAAAAAAAGTTTTCAGAAACCCCAAAGTTTCATCACACAATTAGTGGTTTAGTCTTGCAAGTGATGGCGACATAGTGTATGGGTCTACAGCCAGAAAGAGAAAACAGAACATTATTCTGCATGGAAGGCATGCTGGGAAAAGACAAGAAAAAACAGTTTGCCAAACAGGACTTTTGGATTGATGCACTTTGCAGTTAAAGTTATTTGGCTACAGTAACAATGAGCATGTCCTTTGGGACATTGGGACATACTTTGGGGATCCAGTGATTATTTTTAACTGAGTTTTGCAACATAACAAAATTACTTAAATGTAATCTGAAGCTGTTGAACTGTGTGTCGACCTTTACAGATGGTAGTGACCTTAAAAAAAACAAATCTGTCCAGGAACTGCTCGAAATGAAATTACCTGATCAGAGCATAAATCCCACTAAATAGCTGTGGGTGACTTCAAATGGACACTTTTTCAGAATACAAGAATCTTTATTTTAGATTTAAAAAGAAGCATGTAAGCAGAAAGAGTCATTCATTAAACAGTGTTCACCTACGCATTTATTCTCATCAGTTTACTGTATGCAATTGTAATTACATGTAAAATACTGTAATTATTACAGAGTAAAAATGAAGACTGGTTGACTAAGAAACAGCTTTTTCGAAATATGTTTGAAATCTATTGGTAATAAAGTTATGTAAATAAAGATTAACTGTCTGTTTATGGTGTAAATCTAATGACTTCATTCCCTCCAAGTCTTTATTGCCTAATAAATACACTACTCAGGGGGAAACAAACTACTTCACATAAAAATGTCTTCAATATCTACCACTTTTACTAATTCTGTGGCAGAGGTTTATATAAAAGAAATACAATAAAGTATTTTTTAAAAGTTTAAATGTAATCAGTGCTGTGTTTCTGTCTCCACCTTCTTTTCTTGAGACTCTGAATGTGTAACGTTGAACTCTGCCTCGTACATAATCTGCTGGATCTTTATTTTTGTCTCACACCTCTTCTGTGGAGCGAGTCTCTTCAGAGCGGGAACAAAGCTCAGCAGGAACAGTTCATCCTCGTCCCGCGGCTTAGTGGGAAAAGAGGGGACATTGTCTTTGACCAACCATTTTGTCGGCATGGGCGTACTTTGGGAGGAAGGTGCAGACGGCGGCTCTTGGGTCTGTTTCCGTTTCTGTCCAGTAACGCCAGTGACAGGCGAGACCTGTGGGGGTGATGGTATCTTGGCCAGAACGGCCAGCTGAGCCACCTGTGTGTCCTGAGTCGCTGGAGGTACCTGCGTTACAAATGTCACCTGTGGTTTGAGGTCGGGCAGACTCGCGGGGACCTTTACAGCACTCTGTGGTGTTTTGATTGCCTCTGACAAAGCGGTTTCTCCATCCACGTTGCTAGAGTCTCCAGGGTTGTCGTGGTCCTCATCATTGTTGGCAGAGATTTCCTGCAGTCCACTTCTTGACCCAGTGAACGGCGCGATGAAGTTCATAAGTTGTCTGTATTTCCATTTGCTTTGAACGTTTTCTCCCTGCTTCTTGCTTTTAAGCTCCATTCGGACCTCCTTCAGGTACCTGTCTCTCATGTTCTTCCATCTTCTTTTGCACTCCTCGGCTTGAAAAGTAGAACATCAGAACGTAAGAAGCAAGAAGCCACAGGATCATTTCAAACACAACACACACACACACACACACACACCCAGTTCCTTAGACTACAATGACCTGGATGACTGAGCACCTTTAAAGACATCCAGTGTTGATTGTTTTGTTTTTTGTTTTTATTGAAGCTATTTAATGTAAGAGGCTCGGTTCAGCTAACTGATTGATTAAAATAAATACAATATCAGTATTTTATGTCCTTGTACTAATACAATATTGCCACGCGAAATCTCCCAATACTCTATTTTAGGGCACCAGCTATTGATTATTTAAATAATCGAGTAGTCTATTAATTATTAATCAGATAAGAAAAACTTTTGCCTTATTAATGAGCAATAATAAATATTCAGAAAAGAAAAAACAATGGTATTTTGAAATGAACTGCTCATTGCTGTCCATTTTAGAAATATTTAAAAACTGAATACAACATCTGTCAAATAAAACAACAACTAAAACCTTTAATTGTATTTACGTGTAATACAGTGTTTCTGTTTAAAACTGGGGGCTGTGTGGGCTTAATGTTGTCAAACTTTTTACTCACATGCTCCGAAATCTGTTTGCATTGCAGGTCTATTCTTAGCTGCTCGTTTAGCCCATCTGCGTGCTACAAAGCCGTGCCTTAATAACTGTCGAGAATTTTTTATAATCAAATTATTCACTGAAATGATGCAGACCTACTGTATTGAACTGATTTTTCCCCTCCCCATCTCTAGAGTGGTAGGGAACTGACTTGATCAGTCAAATCATTTTGCATCGAGGGGCACATACAGCCCACTTTGATCTTAAGTGGCCCAGTGAAACTATTTTTGTCAGTGTAAAGACATTTAATTGCACATTTAATCCTTAAGATATCTTACTATGAAATAAAGAAGTGTCATTTCAACACCACATTTCAGTTTTTCAACATGATAAATGTGTATAAAAAAAAGTTTTGGCCGTTTTTCTCAATTGATGAAAATTTTGTTTTAACCAACATTTTTATAGTAGACAGTAAAAAACGAGACCTTTTCTGTCATTTAGTTCATTATCTGCTTTAATGTAGCATGAATGGCTGTGAGGGAGCTCTTTATCAGCAAAGGTGCTTAAAGTATGCCCTGCCTCATATTTTTCAAAGCCATTCAGCAGGTCAGATTGGAGTGCTTACTGGAGTGCTTACCCAAAGCCTTGTATTTGACACTACTAATCATTGATGATGTTTCATTAACAATTGGCCCCCTTTGAGCTTCAAATTAAATAACTCCTGATGGCACAGATTCAACAAATATAGTGAACTCATTGCCACGATCAGGAAACCACTTTGAGATGATTTGAGCTTTATGGTGTGGTGTGTTATCCCACATCCATCAGAACACTGTGGTCATAAAAGGGATGGTCATTTTCACCAACGATACTCAGGTAGGCTGTGCCATGTAACCGTTGCTCAGGTGATACTAAGGGGCTCAAAGTGCGCCAAGAAAACATCTCCCACCTCATTATAGCACCATCAGCCTGAAGTGTTGGTACAAGGTGGCATGGATCCATACTTTCATGTCTGTACCTAACAACACTGGTGAGTGTGTGTTTTTATACTAGACCAGAGTTTTAACTGGCCCAGAAATGGCCTTTTTAGGTGGTTTGTTGTTGTTTTTTTGGTTTTGTTTTTATATCCATGCTTAGTTCTGCTTTTATTTAAGACAGTGACCCTGAAGTAACATATTTACAGCCATTTAATAAACAAAAGGAATTATATTTATCTCATGCGGTTTAGTTTAGGGGAGGGCCAAATGTCTCACCAGGCACTCCAGGTTAACTCTTTGCCTCTTATTTCTTTCTTCTTCCCTTTTAAATTTTGTATTCTTTCCTTTTGAGTGATTTTCCATGTCTGTCACTTTGCTGCTGGAACACCTGAATTTCCCCGATGAGGGACAATAAAGGACGTTTCTAATCTATTCTTTTTTTTCTTTTTCTTTTTTTAGAATTTTTCTTTATAAAGAAAAGTGACGCGCTTTGACAATACTTTCATCTCTTTGTATAATTTTTATTTGTGCTCCTTTTTCCTTGCCAAGTCTGGAGGTCATGAGTTCACCCTTGGCCGCGAAGCAATGCACCTGCTTGTATTTGAGGCTGGGGGCTCTCCCTGCCCACGAGCTTTCGAAAGAGGCACGCGGCTCTACGACTCCGTATCGGAGCGCAGGTATCTTCTTTCCTCCGCCGCGCGGTGCTGAGCACGCGGCGGGGAGCGCGGAGGAGCGGGACCGTGCGGTTCGGTGCAGCGCGGCCTGCGCACCTCGGGCCCACGACGGCGGCGTGCGAGCGAGCCGCTACCGCTAGCACGGTGCGCGCGACTGCATCCACACCGCAGGTCAGCCGTGCAGAGAAACGCGAAAACCACTACAGATGCCCCCAGACCAGTGTGAGAAACAGCCGCTGCTCTCAGAAAAGCGCAGTTAACATTTCGCGTCCTTTCAGCCCTCCGCGCCGAAAACAGCTGAACAAATAATAACTGCCATTAAAGTTGTAGCGAACAGAAAAAACAAGCGGCACACTCACTCGGAAGTCCCAGCTCCATGCTGATGCTTCTCCAGGCATTTGTCCGACTTTCCGTGCAGCGGTAATTCGGCAGTGTAACATTGTAAAGCTCCGGGTAATTAAATACAGCCAATATTAACTTATCGTCCATTTTGCCCCAGCGTCGTCTGTGCTGCGCGGACGCGGAAGCGGCAGTCTTCTCCCGCCTTTTCCGCCCAGCAGCTGCTGCCAGTGCGTGTTATCGCGAGTGGCGGGCCGCCTGCCGCGCCGTGCCGTGCCGCTCTGCTGTTAACACTGCAGGCTTCCGCCACACGGGGGCGCACGTCACCTGTCAGCCCTGAACTATTGAGCGGGGAAGCTTTAATATGTATGCTTAATAATAACAATAATAAATTTCAAAAAATGTGTCTTTCTTTTTGAAACCTCTTTTTAAATATAAACTTTTATCAGAAAGTCTGTTATTTGAATTTTTTTATGATTATTGTACAGCTTTAATGTCTTGTGACATAGGATGTTTTGAAGGGAGCCATTGAGTTTTCTTCCTGTTAGAGATGTTACAGAATAGTAGCTGTTGCAGTTTACCAGTGTCATCTTTGTCACATTTCTTTATTTTCATTAATATATATATATATTACAAAGCTGGCACATTGGGGGAAAAGTCTGAAAGAAAAAAGAAAAGGGGAGAAAATATAATAAAATGATAGAACATAATTAGAAAAGCACAACACCTGGAAGAGAAAAATATGCAAAACCACAGATACGCAAATCAACAATCTAGTTAAGACAGTTTACCACATGCAGACTAGCTCTAGTATTCAGAAGCCAACACTGCAGGGCACACACTTTTCTAAAGTGACTATGAAGAAAGCACAAAAGACTGCCATTGTGGGTCAAGTGCATGTTAACATTCACCACTTTTCCTGCACCTAAACGGCGCCCAAGAGAGGAAATGTTGAGACAGTACAAAGCAACAAGCTACTTCCACAAAGAAAAGAAAATGCAGCTACAATAAAGGCAGGAAAGATGCCGGCTGAAGCTGTGGGAAGGCAGTCCTTGGAGCTTTTGTTAGCTTCATTTCTGGCTTACAATATTTACCTAGCTGGAAAAGTTGCATTCAAATATACTGTAAAACTGTACATGTAGGATTTATGTGTATTTATGTTTTAAGTCATACATACCCGGATTTCAGATTAGCGTGGGAGATTAGAAGTGTCCTTTGTTTAGTTTGTTGGGAACTAATCACATAATATTTTATTAATTAAAGACACATTTTATTCATTATTTAATGATGTACTTACTTAAGTTATTTTGGCACCCTAGGCTTTCCGTAATGTCATCACCATACTGAGGCATCTCTACAGGTTAACCTGTGATTGGAGGTCTCAAGTAGACTTTGTTTCATTTTAAGGAGTCAAAAGTCAAAAAGGTAAGGAAACCCTGGCATATAACCTACAGGATTTCTGCATTTATTACTGAACGTTGTCAGATCTTCATCTAAGTCACAGTTATAGACAAACACAATCAATAATGTACTCAGTGCTTTTATTCTCATGTCTTTATTGAGTACACGAGTAATCAATTAAGGTGCAGGGCTAAAAAAAATATTAAGTGAACCAAAGCCCCTGTGCTACAGATTTCTCCAACTGCTGAAGTCAAGTGTCCCAAATGTAAGAGGTGAAACTGGAAGCGTGGGCAGGAGGGGCGTCCCTCCCCCTACATGAACGCACACAGAGTATGATTACATTCAAAGTGCACATCTAACACAACAGCTTTCACAGGTCCTCAGAAGTGACTGGAAAAAGCCTGAAAAGGCCTTTTAAGGGCCTGTGTCAATCAATCCGCAGTGAAGTGTGCACTCCTTTAAAAAAAAATAATTAAAAAGGTGATAAAGAGCAGAACATCTGCACAAACCTCTCGAAGTCTTTGTTTATGTGTGCATTTGAGCTGTCAGAGAAATGAAATGAAAATCATACAAATCTAATCTTTAATTTGTTTTTGTTTGTTTGTTTTTTTGGAAAATGAATAAAATTGAAAATATGAGTGTGAAGAAGAAGAGAGGCTCTATAACCTGAGCTGCAGAATCAAAAAAGCATACAAAAAAGAAAGAAATTGCGCAATTTTTCCTTGTTACTCCCATTTTGATTCCATCTTTTTCTTGCAAGCTCAGTCTTGCAGCATGATTTTGAAGCAAAACAAACTAAACACCAGATCCCACTTCAGGTCCTTGGGGGGATATAATATATATATTTTAAAAACACAATAAAGAAAAACATTGTGCAATGCAATTAAAAAAATACTTTATGCAACAATGGGGTGGTACTCCAGATTCCTCCTCCCTGTTGGTGCATTATGTCTACAGTTTTTTTTCTGCACAAGTTCAGGAGGAAACAGAAAGAGTAGGAGGGTGTGATCCCCCGGTCGCCCTGATTCAATCTCTGTTTCTGCAGGAGGTATTGGGCCTGGGTCCAAACACCAAGCACCAAGCAGAGAAGCTGAGCATTTTCACACGTCAGCGTTCTGCTGCCTTGCACAGCTCCCTGCTCGTTTATCAACAGTCCGTGTGTGGGTGTATTTATAATCCAGTGTCTCCTGTCTGATGTGCACTGATTTGATTTGTGTCCTTTAATCTTCTCATTTTTTCCGCCCACGCGCTTTCTGTCTGAATAGCCATTTAAAATATAAGACCGTGACACGTAACCCTAAAGAGCGCACGCGCTCAGAAGCATCCAAGCAAATCAACATTCTGTGTGGCAACTAATATTTTCCAGGCTCTGTCTTCCAAATGCAGTGTCCCACTACAAAAAAGGCAGAGAAGTTATTATAATGATTACAGTGTCTCATTCAGCCTCCACCTCATTTAGTTTATTTATTCAGTCTTCTCATAAAACACAGACAGTGTCGTCTTCTTCTCTTCTTTCAGCTGCTCCCTTTAGGGTTCATCTGCCTTCATCTCATCGTCTCCCCAGCCTCCTCCTCTGTCACACCAACCCTCGGCATGTCCTGCTTCACTGCATCCATGAATCTGCTCTATGGTTTTCCTCTTTTCCTCTATCTCTCCTCTCCAAATGTCCAAACCATCTCAACCTTGCCTCTATAACTCCCACTGACAATCTTAGCATCCAGCTCTTCCACCTTCAGATCCACCTTCCGTCTTATTGTTAGTGCCATCATCTCCGAACCATACATCACAGCAGGTCTCACTGTCGTCTAGTCATCCTCTCATTATTGCTGTTATCCTTCCGTCACAAATCACCCCTAACACTCGTCTCCTCTCGGTCCACCCTCCTGCGCTCTCTTCTTCACCTCTGTTGTGCTCTGTCCACTGGTTTGGATGACTGAGTCCAGGTACAGCCTGATATTTCACCTTCACTACCTCTCTTCCTTGCATCTTTACTGTTACACCCATCTTCCTCTCATTGACACACATATTCTGTTTTGCTTCTTCACCTTCACTCTCTTCACTTTTTTGTGTATTTCCATCTCTGTCCTTAATCACCCTGACCATCAGTTCAATCTCTCACGAGTCCTTTTCTTCTTCCTTAGGATCCAGCCTCAAATATAACTCATTGAAAGCCTTTTTCTTGTCTCTTTGCTGCTATACGCCTAGCCTCCTGGTACCCCTGCCTCCTCTCGTCATCTCTTCGATTATCCCACTTTTTCTTTGCCAACTCCTTCCTTTAAATACTTTCCTGTATTTTCACAACCGAGTCTCTTGCTTTTCTGCCCAGAGGATACAGCAAAAGCCTTCTTGCCAGTTTCCTTCAGCACTTTAACAGTTATCTGTTATCTGCACAACATTCTACTTTTTTCAACCTCCACTATTTAATCCTTGCCTCTGCCTTCACTCGCTTCCTCTTGTTGATTTCCAAAGCCATCCTACAGACTACTATCTGATGCTGTGTAGATACATCCTCCCCAGACTTCTGCGGACCTTCTGCACTGGAGATAGTCAACCTGTCCACGTGTGTATTGTAGAGGCAGCCAATCAGAAGAATGTTGACAGAGGTGCTGAGACAAGGTCCATTTTAATGATTATGATTATGAAATGATTATTTCGAACAGTTATTCATTCACAACTACCTTATAATACCATACCAACATACTTTATTTATAAAGCACTTTTAAAAATGCATTGTACAATTCATGTGATATTCAATGTAATAAATTCCAGCATATCAAGAAAGATTTTTCCTTAAGACAAAGAGTTTTATACTATTTTTGAATCTCCTAAAAATGCAGAAAAGAATTCATCTGCCACCCATCGGCTGTGGTTCTTTTCTCTTTTACTCCTTGTACCAAATATTGCTTACAACGATAAAATGGATCTTTATTGTTGTAATCCCCAGTAATGAATTTTGAACTGTTTGAACCAACATGGATATAGTACAATTCCTTCTATTGAGAACCACAATAACTGCAGATAAGGATCTCACTTTCTGCGCAAACTATACATCAACAATCTGGATGCTATTAAACCCGAGTGAAAAGGATGAGATGGTGTTTATTGTTATCTGTTTTCAAAAAGCGCTTATAAAAGGAGCTTAGGACAGATTGTGGAAATCCATTAATTCTCTGGGAGGGGAAAAAAAAAGGTGTATTGCCTTGTATGAAATCACAGGATTTGTCGGGGTTGGAGGTGGTGGTGGTGGGGCTGAATTTAACCTGTAATAGCTTTACCTCAGCTGCGCACATTGTCAGAAAAGTCAGACTGAAAAGACTGCAGCACAAAGATAAGACACATGATGCACGATCGTGAATACAAACGACTGGGATGGATCCATTTCTCTGAATTTTCTCTCTCTGTGTGCAAACATACAGATCCATCAGTGTCACCATACATCACTGACACGGGCCAAATGAGTCACCCCGTCATCTGCAGCTCCCTAATCACTTTGTAATCACTTTAAGTGTGCATTGTTGTTGACAGTGTAGCCCCAGCCTGTGTAAATAAATATACCAATTTATGCAGGATCGTTTGTTGACAGAGCTATACGTGGAAGCGACATTACGAAGTGAATTTGGAGAACTAATCCTCAGATTCAGCATACACAAGTCTGTGGCCACACCAAGAACGCTCATCTTTAAATCCAGGTTTCTGATACCAAGAAATCCCCTTTCCTCTAAAACCTTAACAATAAGGATCTTAGGAGCTCTCCACTTCTCATTTTATGCAGCGAAATCTGATTTCTTTTGAAGAAAGGAATGAGGCGAGATTAACTGAATCTGCCGTCCTCCCTAACCTCTTCACAAAACTGCCCAGATTAGCAAGGAATTAAGTTTCAACCGTTTTTATGTGTCTGGTCCATAGGGGGGGATTATGGTTTTACTTCTTTTTTTCTTTTTTCTTTTTTTGGCCTCCCAATTTCACTATAAGGGCTTGACACGTTGCTGTAGAGAGAAGAAGGAGAAGGAGAAGAGCAACTGAGGCTTGAAAAGTCCTCTGTGTGTGTGTCACAATATCCTGTGATCACCACTGCTTTTGAGCTTTCACTGAAACCTCTTTGGAGGTGGAAGGACTGATCAGGATGGAGAGGCAGAAGTTCCCCTTTACTATTGAGAACATCCTGAAGTATCCAAGCAGCAGTGGAGATAAACGGTCCTACGGAGCGAGTGGTCTTGGCTTAAAAGAGAAGACAGTCAGTCCTGCTGGAGGCCAAACAGAGGCGGTTCATCATGCCTGCCTGTGCTGCTGCTACTGCTCCCACTGTGCTGACATACTCCAGCCTGACTTCATCCACGAAGGTAGGACCACACCTTCTGCTTTTGTCTGTGGTTGAGCTTGATTCTGCTCCCCCAACCTTAAATCAGACCTCCTCCCTGCAGCTTGTCAGTATGGCTGGAACCCAGCAATCCTCTCAGATTCGTGCAGGCTGGGAGACACTCACGGGGAGGAGCAGTCACCCAGTCAACAGAGGCGAACCCGGCGTCACCGGACCATTTTCACCGAGGAACAGCTGGACGCACTGGAGGAGCTGTTCCTGCAGAACCAGTACCCAGATGTGAACACAAGAGAGAAACTCGCACAGCGCACTCACTTAAGAGAAGAGAGAGTGGAGGTAACACTGCAGCATCACATAATTGTTTTAATTAAATATGATGGTCTGCTAATAATGTAAATGTGAATAAAAACTACTGTAGATACTGAATTTAATAAAATGACAGCTCAACAATGTTGCCTCTTTTCTGTCAATCAGGTTTGGTTTAAAAACAGAAGAGCCAAGTGGAGACGTCAGAAAAGACTTTCATTTGTTGTGGGAAACACAGAAAAAAAGTGAAAAAAAAGAAGAATTTTGCATGGCTCTGTGTGATCCAATCAAAATAATTTGCATATACCTATATGTAACATATAATTCTTATATGTAACCATATATGTAAAATCTTGGCATGTATTGATACTATCAATGTAAGTAAAACTGTGAATTTGTAAATGGGTTGTTGTAGTTTGCACAGACTGTTAAAAAAAAAACGTGTCCTTGAGAAAAAATACAGTTGTCGGGGGATTTTTTTAAGAAAAGAATAAATTTTTTGTGCTACCCATAAAAAACGCAGCTAACTTATTATTATTATTTTATTTTATTTTATTTTTTTAAATTTGAATATAATTTTAACGCCTTACTTTATCGTTTTCTTTGTCAAACAAGCGACCGGGGGGTCAGAACTAGCCCGCCAAAGAGTCCAACATGGCTCAGTGAATGGTTTGCTTTATCTGAAAATTACAATGAAGTCATTAATATGTTTAGTATGTCTAATATCAATTTTCCCACAAAATGTTGTTCGTTTCAGGCATAAAAATGTTTCAAAAGTTTAAATCACTTCTGACTAATTGTTTACACTGTAAATAAATAAAAAAAAATTATTAAATTGTTAGGCACTAAAAACTCCACATGTGAAGGTCTTGTGCTTTTGTAAAGCCACTGTGAGACAGGACACTAGAGTTTGTCTTATATATATAATTTTTTATTATTTATTTATTTATTTAAGGTCTGCGAACTATCAAACCACTGTTGGCTTTCAAGGTTTATTTTGGAAAATTCTAGCGAAGCCGTAAATTTCCGGTGACGTAATCGTCCGGGCTGTGCGTTGTTTGTACGCTGGTGGCTAAAAGTCAGCTAATGTGTTAGAGTTGGTGGCGTTGGGCATTTTTAAGTGTCGGGTTTTTACGTTGTTGGTTAACTTTTTAAACAGTGTTAACCCACTGAAAGAAACACCCTCTAATAGCTTAATTTTCGTCGCTATTTGTAGTAGAAGATTATTTAGCCATCTGGCTAGGAGGCTAACAGGGACCACAATGGAGGGCAGCGCCAGCGTGAGGAAAGCACTGTCTGGGACTCTCGTCCCTTTGGCGGTCTCAACAGTGGCACTTCAACAGCAACCAGAGGATAAGGAGAAGGGAACGCTGAAGAGAAACGTCCTGGATGAGGAGGAGTACATTGAGGTAAATAATAGCAGACATAGACAGGCGCGACTGTTAGCTAACTGTAAGTTAGCAGGCAGGTGATGTACAACACAACTAAATTTCTTTAGACTAAAGACTTTATTGTACTAGTCTGGACAGACATAGAAGTGTATAACAGCTCCAAATATTATGCAGTCAGTGTGGAAAAAGTGTTTACTTATCAAATCGACCTATAGGTTTAAAGTAAGGTGCTTGTTATGACAGTACTTCACGATATGAAAGTGCAATAGCAAATTGCTCAAGTAAGGATTAAGTTACTAAAGTTACATGAATGGCATGGTAATGGCATGCATATACCCCGAAAATATTTGGTTAAATATTGTTTAACCAGTTGCACCACGACGAGACACTTAAGTGGCTATCAAAAAGCCCTAAATAAATCTAGCTGGATATTGGATCACTCTTCTTAGAAGAATTGTTAGAGTTCATTTAAACTCATTTGGTTCCTGGCACAGACGTGGCTTTAACCGTAGTCCACAAGTTTTACAAATTTTCTTGTGTTGGAGCACACAGCCCATTGCCACAATGCTATCCAGAGGGTCTTTTAATAATGCTACTGTTTCACACAGTGGGGCAGTCAGACCACAGGGTCTCTTGATGGGACCTAGATGGCCATCAAGGATCTGGTTCTCCACACTCCTCAGTCTGGTGAGTGGGGTCCTGTGTGTCTGTATACTGTGGCAACTCAGAGTTTAAGCTCAGAGCAGGGCTATATATGTTGTATTGGGCAGAAAAAGGGAAAAGCTCTGCCCGAACAGAGCTTTCCCACCGGATTGTTGACACAGTAAAAGAGACGTACAAAAAGTCTCTTCAGATATTAGTTGTCACACTGCCAGGAACATTGCCTGGGCAGTAATTCGAGGTGTTCCATGAGGGGAAATCTGGGCAGCAGAATCCTGGGCAGTGCCTTACACGTTTGCTAGGGTCACCTGACTTAATCTGGTCTCAGGACCCACTCGATCTTCAACTATTCTGTCATTGGCTGACCAGTAAGTTTTTCCTCACGACACTGCTAGTATAAGTCATCTTCATTGTTTACTGCAACTTCTGTAGGCAGGAGGGAAAGAAACCTAATTAAAGTTACAAAAGTTACCACGGTTCTGTGAACTCCCAGATAACTGCCAGTCATGCAGTTCACTTGAAGCATCTCAGTGCAAGAACATTTATAGAGATCGGATGTAGGGTACCGGGGGGTATTTATAGTGTACACGCGTAGGTAGCCTACAGGTCACACAGTTGACTTTGTTTATATGAAATCTCAACCTGCACTGAGCACAAGAAGACATAGCTGCATTGTTTATTGTCACTGGCAGTCTTCTGGGAATTCACAGAACCATAATTACCTTCGTAACCTCTGTTTGGAAACCTCACCTTTAGTCCTCCAAACATAACTCTTGACATTGTGGCCAGTGAGCTCAAACTTTGTCACTTCTGACCATAAAACCTTTCTCCAGAAGGCATTTGGCTTCTCCATGTGGGCAGCAACAAATTTAAGTCGAGTTTTTAAAGGTATTGATTTTAGAGCAGGGGCTTCTTTCTTGGTCAGCTCCCACTTGGTCCACAGTGAATGGAAAAACTTTTTTTTTTTCTTCAGCAGTTTTCAGTTCATGTCAGGTTTTATGCCTTGGTGGTTACAGGGTTGTTCCTGAACAGCCTAACCAATTTCCTGTCATCTGAGGTTGACAGTTTGGATTTTCTTTAAGACCTCTGCAAAGTGGTGACGCATCTGTTAATCTTTTACGTACAGTTATTTGAACTGATGATCTTGTAATCTGCAGTTGTTTAGAAATGGCTTCAAGAGATCTTTGCAACTTGTGTAAATCTAAACTTCTCATTCTTAGATCTTCATTGTGTTCACTGGACCTTCCCATTGTTCTGAGTATTGGTCAATCAGTGACTACAGTCAAACAAATCCTTTCTATGCTGGTGAAGAGAAAATACCAGTTGTAGTCAGTTGTGATCGGTTACACAAAGTTTTGACCTTGTTGTGTCCTTGCCCTTGTTTTGGCTTTGTTAAACCTTTAGCAACACTCAAAAGATTTAAGTTAGTGTGTGTATATATTGAACCCGTATACATACATTTAACCCTGTTTGGATTAGAGAAAATCCAAAGTGAATTCAAATGTGTACACTCTTGTTTTGTTATTGTTGGGTTTTTTTTTTAAATTGATTAAAGTCATATACTGTACAGTAATTGCACCATGGAAATTGCACCTCTGTATTAACCTTCTGCTTGTGTTTTGTTTTTGTTGACAGAGCTTAGAGAAAATTATCCAGAGGGACTTTTTCCCAGATGTGACAAAGCTGCAGGCACAGAAGGAATATCTTGAAGCAGAGGAAAATGGAGACCTGGAGAGGATGAGAGAAATTTCCATCCGATACGGATCTTCGTTGACAAAATCTACACCGCAGTCTTCTGCACCATGTGAGTGAAGTGGAATTAAATAAGACATTATGTGTTCTCCAAGTAAAATACTTGTTAATGATAAAATACTTGAATTCAACAGGTGTTTTTTCTCATTCAAATTTTTTCTTTCTCTTCTGTTTGTGTAAGATGTGACGCCTGCTAGCTTTGAAACACCAGTGGGCCAGTTGGGATCCCCTGCTTCCACTTATTCTGCTAAAGCTGTAGATGGAGGTAAGTAAGCAGGGTGATGAACACATAACGTCATGCAGTAAATGTGTAATTTGTTAAAGCTTCACATCCACGTCTCGCTGTTAATCCCTCTTTTGACATTTACATGCTTTCCCATATTGTATACCATTCTGTTTCTCATTAGTGGTTAACATGTTTGGCACTAAATTGATCGACTATGAGAAATTATTGGTATTTTTTCTTTCTTTCTAGAGAAGAGGGCTGACGACACAGAAGAACAAAATCTGCCCAGCCTGGACCGCTTCCTCGCTAAGAATACCAGTGAGGATAATGCATCCTTTGAACAGATAATGGATCTGGCAAAAGACAAGGAGAAACTGAAGCATGCCTGGTTGTATGAGGCTGAGGCTGAATTCAAACAGGTATGGATGGTTAGCTGTGTAAATGCAGGTGTGCTGATCTGTTTTCTGGGGTTTTCATATGTTCACGAGTGTCAATTTATCACAAAAACTTGTAAAAGTATTTAAATCATTGCATTAGTTTCCCACAGACTTAAACTCATAATTTGTGGCGGTGTGGAGCACGTATATTAGGGATGACCATTTAAACTAGAATTGTTATTCACCAAAAACTAGAAACAGTTTTTTTGAGATTGCTCACTCTAGCTTTACCTGGTGGAGTTTGCGGTGAACCAAATTTTTTTGTTTTGTTTTTCAGGCTGTAGTCCTCTTTGGCTCTGCATGTTTCCCCTGTTTTATATAGTAGCATCGCATCTGACTGTGCCGCATGCCTTTTATCTGCCAGCAAATGGAAGCTAATGTGTTGCTTCTTCTATTTGCTCATCGCATGGTGGTCAGCTAACAGTTTGTAGGACCATTAATACCACTTCCTTCTGGTAGAGGTGCATTATATATTCACTTAGTATATATACTAACTAATTATATACTAACTAATTAAATTATACTCGGGATTTATTCCCGCCTTTAATAGTGGTTACATTGCTTAAAAAATACTTTGTGCAGCTGTTTCTTGTCTTAAAGGATAAATAGCATTTTCCATTTTTAAAAAAACAAAACAAAACAAGCTCATGTCTGGTATGACGTAATAGACTTCTGCCACCAGAAGGTGACGTTAGTGCAGCCAGAAGCTTTGTCAGCTGCCAATAAACAAGAACACGAAGCTAACTGTTTCCCAGATGCTACTGTACAAACAGAAGATTGCTTTTATAAAGATTTTTTACCAAGACAGTTTTGTGCAGAACTCCTTAAAAAAAAAACAACAACCCAAAAGACAAAATAAATGTAAATAAACTTTAGTTCAAACTCCACCAGGTAAAGCTAGTGTGACGTAGTGTAACTTTTGAGAAGAGTTTGGAGTTGAAGAGGATGAGTATGAGTCCCTTATTCTAACTCCTAACAGGAGTCTTTGTTTCACAGTCTTTCAAAATAAGAGCAACAGGCTTGTCGGGTAGTAAACCACTCACCTAAAACATGCTAAATTGAGTCACCAAATAGACTTAGGTGAGTGTTAATAGATCCTACCTCTTGGCTGCATTCAAATCATTTATAAAAGCTTGTGATTGTTTTCCAGCGTCATGAGCAGAACCTTGCCTTACCATCAGTAGAGAAGGCAGCACTCGAATGCACCAAAGCTGGACTGGAGACCTGGGAGTACAAAGCCAAGAATGCCTTGATGTATTATCCAGAGGGTAGGAGGCTCGAGCTTCGATAGTCATGTTGTGTGAATTTACAAAATTGGCTAAATTCACTTGTGTGTGTCAGTGAGTGAGATTTTTATTTTGTTCTACAATTATTATTATTTTCTTCCTTTTTTAAAATCAGGTGTTAAAGATGATGATGCCATCTTCAAGAAACCAAGGGAGGTGGTTCACAAGAACACTCGCTTTGTTGGAGACCCATTCAGCAAAGCTCTCAACAAGAGCCAGATTCAGCAGGCAGCAGCTCTCAATGCACAGGTAGGTGTTGTTAATGTGATACTGTATTTAAAACAATGACTGTCGTTGCCTTTATGTGCCACTTATTTCTGAATGAAGTGCTTGAACTGCATGCCAGTCTGTTCAAATGGAGGTAGGGGAGGCAAAAAAGTGGATTTTTTGATGATGCAGAACATGTGTTGTTTCTGTAGTTCAAACAGGGTAAAGTAGGTCCTGATGGGAAAGAGCTTATCCCACATGAATCCCCATCAATGAATGGATATGGTTACGTAAAAACTCCTTCACCTGCACCTGGTGAGTAATCTTATTATTGTGCTTTGCATAGAACAGACCTGTTCCATAATCTGACTGGGGCAGCTAAAGAATTAAAAGTTTACCACATTGAACTGTTTCCTTATCAAAGACGTGATGTGACTACGTTTCGTCTGTTCGCTTCGCCTGCTGCCAAAAATCAAACTTTTTTTTTTT